CGATTTAATTATTTTAATAATAATAATAATAATAATAATAAATAAAATACAATAAAAAAATAAAACAAAAAGACAAAATATGTAAAATCAAAATAGGTTTAAAGACAACAAAATGACAAAAAATTGGATGCATGGAAGGGTATATATAAGAGCAACATCTAGTGGAGGTCTGAGGTGCAGTCCAGTGAAGTGACAAACTATACGGCGATCGGTGGAGAATAACGACTACGGGTGAAGGAGGTGGGCAGTTGGGCGATGACATTACTTTTCTGGCAGCCGAAATAATCCCTTCAGAATATACTGTTTTCTAAACTCAAATGCCGAGATAATTGCGTTAGTTTTTTTTTTTTTTAATAGAGTTTTCAAGAGATATAGTTTCCTTTATCTCCTAATAAAATAAGATTTGTTTTATTTTTTGAATGATTTTCTGGATTCTTGGATGATCCGTTACATAGTTTATTGAATTTCAAGAACTACAACTTATGAACGTGTTCGGTAAAATTAGCTGGTAGCGGGTAGCTTGTAGCGTTTTGTAAAACACTACATGAAGTAACATTTGAATTTGAAGCGTTTTGTTTAAACTAAACGTTAGAAGTTTGTAGTGCCGAACGAGACTTTCTGTTCAAAACGGAGTGTTTTGTCAAACGTTAGAAACTAGAAGCTCTTAAACGCTTTTAAACGTTCCGTGCCAAACACGCCCTATATAAGAGAGGCCTATATTACAAATTTATTAAATATTTGATTTATTTAATAGATAAACTACATATGTATAGGTATTAGGAACTTTGACAGGGGGAGGCCATGGCCCCTTAGCCCTAAAGAGCATCCGCCCTATGTTTAATAATTTATAAAACTTTAAATTTTAAATAGAAATGATTAAGAAAAAGTGGTTTAACTTTAAATTCAGTTACACTAATTCAGAGAGTGGTTACAAGGGTTTCTTGATGGTGCCATGCCAAGTGCCAGCCTATACCCCTCAATTTAGCAATCATTTCTTTGTTTTCCCTCCAACTCATCCCCATTTGCCAATTCTCTATTCATTTGGTCTTGGAAACTTCTCAAACAACTAGCATAATGACTCGTTCCAAATATCCAATTTAAAAACGCCAAATATGACTCGTTGCTGCTTTGATTCGTTCTCGATTGTTTCATAACTTTTCCTTCGCCTTTTGAGTTTTGATCATTATTCTTCTTGTCCCCTGGATATCATCGATCTGATGATCTCTTGAAAAGGTTTTGTCTCTTTTAGTAAAATTCGATTAGGATTTGAATCTTTTGTTGGATTTCGTATCGGATTTCGGAAATCGAGCCGAAAACATAGCATTCTTGGTTAGAGATTATGGATTTGGATAATATAGAGTGTGTATCATCTTCCAATAGAGTAGAAGGTGCAGAGATCCAAAATTTCGGTCCGAAGCCTCGTAATAACACGGGAATGCCTCCTGCTACAAGTGTTCATGAACTGTTGGAGTGCCCAGTTTGCACCGGTTCAATGTACCCTCCAATTCATCAGGTTTTGATCTATTACCTTAATTCTTGAATCATGGGGTTTTCTTGATTTGATTACAAGTATAAATGTATAATTAGGGCAAGTTCATCGCAATTTGATCCCATGGCTGAGTTTTTGTATCAAAACGGGAACAGATTACTTAGCCCTAAATCACAAACTAATTAACAACCATTCACCATCGAAACAGAAAAACTTAAAATGAATTTGTGATGGTAGATTTTGTGGTTGTGCCATTTGTAGTTATGAAATATGGTTTGGTTTGGTGCAGTGTCTGAATGGGCACACATTATGCTCGACCTGTAAAACACAGGTGCACAACCGATGCCCAACTTGCAGACAAGAACTGGGAGATATCAGATGTTTAGCATTGGAGAAAGTTGCAGAATCTCTTGAACTCCCATGCAGATATTACTCATTAGGATGCCCAGAAACATTCCCGTATTACAGCAAGCTGAAACACGAAATGTCATGCAACTTCAGACCTTATAACTGCCCATACGCTGGATCAGAATGCTCAGTCACGGGTGACATTCCCTTTCTTGTTACACATCTGAGAGACGACCATAAAGTAGACATGCATACAGGCTGTACCTTTAACCATCGTTATGTTAAATCTAACCCACGTGAAGTTGAAAACGCCACCTGGATGCTGACTGTAAGACAGACAGACTTAACACCTTTCTTTCTTTCTTTCTTTCTTTCTTTCTTTCTTTCTGTTTAAAACAAAACAAAACAAAGCAAAACAAAACAAAACAAAGGTAACAAAAGAGTTTTGTGTTTGATTTCAGGTGTTCAATTGTTTTGGAGAGTATTTCTGTCTGCATTTTGAAGCGTTTCAGTTGGGAGTGGCGCCTGTGTACATGGCGTTTGTGCGGTTTATGGGTGATGAGGTGGGGGCTCGAAACTACAGCTACAGTTTAGAGGTTGGAGGGAATGGAAGGAAGCTGATTTGGGAAGGAACACCGAGGAGCATAAGAGACAGTCATAGGAAGGTGAAGGACAGTCATGATGGGCTCATAATACAAAGAAACATGGCACTTTTTTTCTCAGGTGGTGACAGGAAAGAGCTCAAACTCAGAGTTACAGGGAGGATATGGAAAGAACAACAACAACAGACCAATACTACTACTACTACTACTACTACTACTAATACAGATGCTGCTGGGGTGCTCTGCATACCCATGCCCATACCCATACCCAACCAATTTATATGACTGAATATCATCTTATCTTTTTACACGTGTCTTGTGGTTGTACCTTAACAACATTTACATATCTCGAATGTAATGTGTGGAGTTGAAGATAGATAGATGCATATGCATATTTTTGCCAAGCTAAACACAGTCCAATCCTATTGTGCATACCCAAACAAACATTGAGAATACATATAAGAATTTGTTTCTTGTTTCCATATATACATATTTCAATTCCTTCCAAAATAATTCATTCTTCGTACCAACAAAAAGGTGGCTTAAAAAGTCCTTGTTGTTTTTGCTAATTACTAACCCAAGAAACGTCATCAAGTCAGACCATATTTGTTTCAAATTTACTTGTTGTATTTTGATTCACGTTTTAGAACTGATGATGTCATGTCCATGTCCTTATTGCTATGTTTCTGCAAAAGAGATATCAGTGTCTTAAAACCATTTAATTAATTGTCTATATAGGGGCGCATCTTTATAAGGGCCAGCTGATTTTTTTTTTTTTAATTAGAAGAGTCCATAGCCCAATACTTTTTTATGCATATCAGGCCCGAATATTTAAACTTAGGGTTGTGTTCTCCAATAATCCGAACCAGAACTCCAAAAGTCCAACGATCGTCAACAATCATGGCCCCTGCTCGTCAGTCGGCCCGCTCAAACCCTCGCTCCATCCTTCGCCAATCACCAGTTCGCTGATCAGTGATCACCGCTCGTCCGCTCCCCGCTGGAATCAATCAGGTATGTTCTCCCTTCTCAGTTCTCTCTATTTCTCTCTAATCGCTTCTCCTGTTCAGTGTTCTGTTTTCTCCATCTGAAAAACCGAATCAATCTTTTATTGATGTAGGATCAGATTCAAAACAAATTGTTGCATAATTTTGCCCATGTTAGATGAATAATGCAGAATATAGGTAGTGGAGAATTGGAAATTATTCGACCAGAAAGTCAATGCATCGTAAATTGTGATCTCCACCCTATTTGAACTTTTTAGTTCTCCAATATACGTCTAATTTTCAGAAGAGAATAGTCCTCACAACTTCCATAGTCGGTACTAATTTCTCCGATCCCATTTCCAAATCAGTCACTATCGACATGTCGGAACTTTTGCTGATCACAAAATCGTATCTTTTCTGAGGTTCGATTCGGTTTTCATAAGTTTTTTGAATGCTTATCATTTAATTACAGCAGTGTTCCATCAACAAATCGATTTGCGTGGGGTTTTATGGTAGGGTTTATTTTAATCCTCTTAGATTGAATCGGTTTCGTTTTTTAGTTTATTGTTTTTTTTCGACGACATTAACGAAACCAAGGTATCCGCTCGGTATCACTGATTGTACGAAACTTATTGCATTGGATTGCGTCGTACTGGCTTTGTGTTATCAATGTTGTATTTGCGATTCATGATTAATCTCTTTGCCGTTTGTTTTGTTTCTTTCTTTCTGCGGTTGTAATCCTTAGTGTTTGGGGCGATAAAACCTAATAAAATCTCACTTAATCAAACCCCCAAAAGGAAATTAAGCTTCAAAAATATCATATAGAACCCTTCTTAGATCACTTTTGGGATATGCATTTGGCTTAAATTTAATTCCCAAACAATACTTTTGATCTATCAAGTCATATGTTAAGTTATTGAAAATTAAAATTAGTCTTTTCTGGCATTATCATTTCCAATAATTAAAAGAGTTTTATGCTTGTTCATCCATAAGTTCTTCAACTGTTGGCTGATTTTAAAAAAAAAAAAAAAAAAAAAAAACTGTTGGCTGATTTTTGTTTGCTGAAGTGTCAAGTAGTTGGTTGTTTTAGCATCCTAATTGAGTTCCAATATAATAATTCACTAAAATGGATATGGTCATGTGGCCTTGTGTGTCTGAATCATTGAACTTCAAATGCTATCTTCCTTGTGGGTGATTCAACCAACTGGGAGATCATTATATAATGTTTTAGTTTATTATATTTTTGCCTTGGTCACTGATCTTGTTGCATATATATATATATATATATATATATATATATATATATATATATATATATATATATATATATAAAGATCAGTAGTTAAATGGAAAAAAATGATGTCTGTTTCTTTATAATCAAATCCATCTTTACTTACGAGCTGTGGGTGGGTTCTTCTGCAGAGTCATATATCTAATGAGTAAGTAATTGCTTAGGCAGTTCATCCACCAAATTGTGTGTGATCTGATCCTCTTTGACATCCAAGAAGATTTCTGATGGTTACAATCATGATATTGAATTTTATAGTTTGATTGTTGTGGTAAACACATGAATTTCTGATGCAATCTGGTGAAAACAAGAAGTTGAAATACTCGAATTTGACATGCAAGATGCCTCAGCCAGACAGTGTTGATGAGCAGATTCCTTTTTCAATCGAGAAGATAGTGCAATACCCATTACCCGGTTACGGTTCTCCAACTTCAGTTAATTTTAGTCCTGATGATAATCTTATATCTTACTTGTATAGTCCGGATCAAACATTAAACAGAAAAGTCTTCATCTTTGATCTCACAACTTGTAAGCAAGAAGTGTTTTTTAGCCCACCGGATGGTGGTCTTGATGAAGATAATCTATCAGAAGAAGAGAAGTTTAGAAGGGAAAGATCAAGAGAGCGTGGTTTGGGGGTGACACGCTATGAATGGGTGAAAACAAGCTCCAAGAAGACCACAATCATGGTGCCTTTGCCTGCTGGGGTTGGTGTCCTTTTCTTTTACTATATATATATATATATATATATATATATATATATATATATATACTTGATAAACTATTTCTTATGGCATTACTTTTTTGCAGATATATTTCATGGATCGTTCTTTACAACCACAGCTGAAGCTTCCCAGTGATACCTCTCCCATTGTTGATCCACATCTTTCTCCGGATGGTACTATGCTTGCTTATGTAAGAAACCATGAACTACACGCATTAGATCTTTTGTACAACAGGTCCAAACGCTTGACATCTGGCGCTAATGGGACCACCAAGGTTAGGCAATGTAACTGCATGAGCAAACTTGTGTTACTTAGTAGTAGTGTATGACTATAACAATCTATTTGTTGTTTTATGATGACAGACACATGCTGTAGCTGAGTATATCGCACAGGTAAGAGTCACTCACACACCCAAAATGGTTGTTAATTTTATATATTCGTTTTGACACATGGAAATGAGGTTGTTTTGTAGGAAGAGATGGATCGAAGGAATGGTTACTGGTGGTCCCCAGACAGCAAATGCATAGCTTTTACGGAGGTGGATTCATCTGAAATACCTGTTTACAGAATCATGCACCAGGGTAAGGCTACAACCGGTTCAGAGGCTCAAGAAGAACACGCCTACCCTTTTGCGGGGGCCACAAATGTGAAGGTCCGTCTTGGTGTTGTCCCTGTTGTTGGTGGGGCCGTCACCTGGATGGATCTTTGCTGCGGTGGGAGTGGGACCGATGGTGAAAACGAGTATTTAGCTAGAGTCAACTGGATGCATGGAAATGCCCTGATTGCCCAAGTATTAAACAGGTCTCATTCCAAACTTAAGCTCCTCAAGTTTGACATCAAAACAGGCATAGGAAAATGCATCTTTGTTGAACAACACGACAAGTGGATCAATCTGCACGATTGCTTCACACCTTTGGATAAAGGAGGCGGGTTTTTATGGGCCAGCGAAAAAACTGGATATAGACATGTTTATCTGCATGATGAAAACGGTGTGTGCGTGGGGCCCATAACGCAAGGTGAATGGATGGTTGAACAGATTGTGGGGGTGAATGAAGCCTCTGGGTTCATATATTTCACCGGAACATTAGACGGGCCTATCGAGTGTCATCTTTATCGTGCTAAACTGTCTCTTCCAATAAATCCATTAGAAAGGCCCGTGAAGCTGACACCTGGTAAGGGAAAACACATTGTGGTGCTTGATCATCAGATGCAGAAATTTGTAGATATTCATGAGTCTCTGGATTCGCCTCCTAGAGTGTCACTCTGCTCGTTGCATGATGGATCCCTGATTAGGTGTCTTTATGAGCAACAAGCGGCTACAATCCCAAGAGTGAAGAAATTACAGATGGACCCTCCAAAGATGTTTGAAATCCAAGCGAAAGACGGGACGCTTCTATACGGGGCTTTATATAAACCGGATGAAGCAAAATTCGGACCTCCGCCTTATAAAACTATGATTGCTGTGTATGGTGGTCCGGGTGTACAGCTTGTGAGCGATTCGTGGGCCAACACTGTTGATATGAGAGCTCAGTTTCTTAGAAGTAAAGGCATCCTAGTATGGAAGGTTAGTCCAAAAACCTTATACCATAAAGTGGTATGTATAATAATACGTAAATGCTAAAATGTGTAGATGTTATTTGTAGATGGATAACAGGGGCAGCTTGAGGCGAGGGCTGGAGTTTGAAGGTGCAGTGAAGTACAATTTTGGGCGTTATGACGCGGAGGACCAGGTGGCGGGAGCGGAATGGCTGATAAAAGAAAGGCTGGCGAAAGCGGAGCACATTGGGTTGTACGGGTGGAGCTACGGAGGATACCTGTCGGCCATGGCACTGTGTCGGTTTCCCGAGATGTTCAGGTGTGGGGTTGCTGGTGCACCGGTGAGCTCGTGGGACGGGTATGATTCGTTTTACACAGAGAAGTATATGGGTATGCCCGATGAAAACAAATCGGGTTATTGGTTCGGGTCGGTGATGAACCATGTAGACAAGATGAAAGGGAAGCTGTTGTTGGTTCACGGGTTGATTGATGAGAATGTTCATTTCAGGCATACCGCCCGCCTTTTGAATGCCTTGGTGGCTGCTCGCAAGCCGTACGAGCTCTTGCTGTTCCCGGATGCACGCCATATGCCTCGCCCTCTCAAGGATCGCCTTTACATGGAACAAAGAATTTGGGACTTCATTCAAACCGCTTTATGAACTAACTATTTATTTCTCATCCGCACCTGTTTTACTTTTATTTTATGACCATATAATAAATAATATACAAAAATATGATGGATTGGATGGTGTTCGACTCAAACAAGATTTCATTTCTCCACCTCCGCTGGACGCTGCTTCTTTTATTGAATTAATTAAAAAAAACTTACAAAATCAGAAATATAAATTACGTACAAATACTTGCGATGAAGGTAAAGTGTAAATATATATATATATATATATATATATATATATATATATATATATATATATATATATATATTTGAGTTGTGGAGATTGCGTTGCGGATGGGATGGTGATGGATGGTCCATTTACTTTCTGTTTTTGCACCCATTTTTAAAACATCAAGCTTATCTCATTTTTTTTCTCTTCTGTTCTGTGATAAGTCACTTATGTAATTCGTTTTTGTATAAATGGACCGACGTCTCATCTAAAATCATTCGTAAATTTGATTTGATTTGTAAATTATATTTTGATTTTTTTTTCTTTTATGATGGTTGTGACCACTAGTGGATGCTACCCAAACTACCCTTTGTGCACCACCATACCATAATTGTATTGTTTTGTGATTCGAATTCAGCTTTATAAATAATAAATAACTTTTTAGAATGATTTGTACAAAAAATAAAGTGTTAATTGTTATGTTTAATAGTACTTTTTTCATGCACCAGCACCACCGTTATTGTTTATTCATAGCCCAAAGCGTCAAGTTCTCTCTTCCGGTCAAGATTTCATATAATATAACCCAGGCCATGACCATACATAGGATCCAAAGTGCCTCCTATTTTCGGAAGATGTATCCAACAACACGATCCAAAGTACAGACTTCGATTACATGTACACAAAACTTTTCCAACATCATACACAAAATCGACATAATTAAACATGTATAAATTTAATATACAACTGGTTTTTGCATAAATTTTATAAAAGAACAAGTTAGTTTGAGATGATTTGAAACTGAACATAGAGATTTGCATGCTAAAAAAATAATTATGTAGGATAGATAAACACCCACCCTTAATACAATTATAGTTTGTGAAAAAAGCAGTAAGAATTTCCTACTACCAACTCGGATATTCAATTTCATGGGTAATCTTATCTTATCTTATCTTATATAGTTGTTGAAAATCATTTGATATCAACATATATGATTTTCCGAGATCGATTGGATCGTTGGAGTTTATTTCATATGTACTTTCTAATTAATTTTTGTTACTCAAAAGACATAATCTTTATACATAAAATAAAATATGTTCGTATGATTCATGTACATGTCATGCATGATGTCATATAATTAAAAAGAATGTTTTAAAAATATTATATAAATGAATATTATCCTAACTTTGCACCTAACTACTTCTGGAGTTATGTTATCAAGGCATAATGGCATTTAAAAAGTAAATACAACATGTAAACAAAACAGAATTTTGGCATTATATATAACCACTGAAGTAGTAGTTTTAGAGAAGTAATTATATTTGTAAAATTCAAACTTAAAACTCTTACATTTTACCATAGCCCTTTCCTTCCACTACTTCTATTTCCTCGCCCTAGCTCATAAAATAATTTAACATTACTTTAATTTTGTTTCAAACATATATGTTTGTGTTCTTTTTTATAACAGTTTATTTTTAAGTTTCTTCCTTTGTTGTAATTATTACAAAATGATAACAACACTAAGTTTAATCTATGTGCCAAAAATATTTAAACATGTAACTAAATTTATTTTTGATAATATTTTATCATTGATGTTTATTATTCTGGTTGAGAACAAAGAATGAAAATCCAAAAAGATAAAGTATTGTGGGTCAAACTTAAGTTTGAAGTAACAATATACTAAAATAGACAACGTTAACTTTATTCTCAAATGTCCGCTCGCTTTCATCCTCATCTTTTATCACATACATACTGTATATATGATGATATATATAACTTTAATAACGTAACGCCCCAAGTCCTCATTAAAAAATAAATAAATAAATAACCTCTCCAGACAAATTAAAGACGTTTCCCAAACCACATGTACAATGAACAGTCCTTCCCTTCCTAATGGTATGCATTTCAATTTGTTAAGAATAGTTTTAGACAGGTTTGGTCGACAAGATCAGTTTCATCTGTGAATTCGTTATTTTAGAATACCTATAAATTAAAGTTAGTTAGTTATCTTGTAAGATTATAAAATATACTACCTCTGTCCCAAATTAATTGTCCACATTTGATTTATGAAATCTTTATTATTCAATTTTGACATTAAATATTTTTGTTTTCAGTAGATAATACTTGATGCAAAATATATGAATGAATTTTATTTTAAATTTCTTTTCATTGTTATAAGTTTTATCAAGTAATATATATCACATATAAAAATATTTAAGATCAAAGTTGAAGTAGAAAAACTTCATATGTCAAAAGTGTACAATTAATTTAGAACGGAAGAAGTAGATATTTTTCAAACAGCTTATCTATTCTATATAGCCTTATGCTAATTATATTTTCCTTAGTTATAGGGCATAACTCATAAGGAAGTTTGAGTTTGTAAATTGTAAATTGTAAATTGGTCCATTTGTATTTTGTATTTTGTATTTTGTAAGTGGAGTGGAGTGGAGTGAAGGTTTGGTTTGGTTTGGTCATTGGTGATGGTGAAGTAACTAGTGGTGGACTGTTGAGTGGTGGGCCTGTCACCGGCTGTCCTTCAACTTGCCCAAACTTAATTGGTCCATGATCCGTTTAATTGTCACAACCACTCTATTATTATTATATTCACTTTTCTATTTAATATTTTATTTTATTTTTGGAATTATTCCAAATAATAATAATAATAACAAAGAGAAAGGTTTCCCTTTCAAATTAAGGCTCCATCTATAAATCCATAGGGTAAAGGAACATGACCATACATTCTTTTTAGGCCTAATCACATAAAAGTCAAATATTTATCATTTTGCATATTTATAGTCATTAATCCTAGAGGTTTGCTATTTTATTTTCTTTCAATTTTACCTTTTTTTTTTTCAGGTTTATTTGGTAACCTTACATATATGTCAAACTAATTAAGGGTTTAATAAACCAGAAAAAAATGGTAAAACTAAACATTTATGTTATCTTAAAGCCTTTAATGAACCACAAAGCACAAAAGGGTAAAATTGAAAAACAAAAAACAAAGTTGCAAATTTCTAGCTTTAATGAACCGGAAATATGTAAAAGGAAAAAACCAAACACTTATGTCAAACCTAAGGACTTTTATATGATCAATCCTTCATTTTATCATAACGTCAATGCGTGTGCCCATGTAAGTATGGTATATACATGATCATGATGGTGCATATATATTATATATATGTGGTTTGTAGTTGGATTATATGTATGGTTTAACTATAATACATGTAGAATGAGTCATGTATTTTTTTTTTCGTAAAAGTTTCTTCTTTAAGGTCATTTAGTGTGAGAAGAAAAAAAGATGATCATGGATCAAAGAAACCTGACAGACCCGTATCGCATCAGCCTAAATATTTAACGTCTTTTAAGTCGAATCTGTAATAATTAATGAGAAAATTCGAGTAATAACCAAAAAGAATGGGTGGTTTGAAGAAAATAACCAAGGAAAAACACATTTCGGAAAATGACCAAAGGATCCGTAGAGCACCCTCTGCGGATCCATTAAAGCCTCTGCAGATCCAGCTACAGCTCTGCGGAATGTTGGTTTTTTAATTTTTTAATTTTTTTTCGTTTTTTTTGCGTTCATTTTCGTTTATTAATATATATATATATATATATATATATATATATATATATATATATATATATATATACACACACACACACACACTTACACCTTATGTGATTATTATGTAAAAAATTTGACAAAAAAAGGTTAAAAATAATGAAATGTTTTATGTAATACATTTGCTACTGATGTATGTTTTTCATGTATTTGTACTGTTTTGTATTTTATGTTCTATGGAATAAAATAGAAGTTAACTCAACTGGTTTTGTAAATAACCTAATACAAACCAAATACATATAAATAACATAATACAAACCGGTGCATATTAATAACCTAATTAAATCAGTAGATATTTGAGGCGTATAGCAGCCGGGATGGTTGATGGACCACATTGGAAGGATATTGATCGGGTTAGTATATATATATATATATATATATATATATATATATATATATATATATATATATATATATATATAAGAATCAGTGTACACCTCTGCGGAGCAGTACACACCTCTAAGGATCAGTGTACAGCTCTTCGGATCTGTGCACATCTCTAAGGATCAGTGTACACCTCTGTGGATCAGTGCACACCTCTAAGGATCAGTGTACACCTCTAAGGATCAGTGCACACCTCTAAGGAGCAGTGTACACCTCTGCAGATCTGTGTACACCTCTAAGGATCAGTGTACACCTCTGCAGATCAGTTATAGAAGTTATAGACGTATTTAAGTGGTTATTTGTGAGTTTGTGAGTTTCAATTACTAGTAGAAGTTGTTTTTTCGTTGTGTTTGTAGAGAGTGATTTGTAAAATGAGTTTTATTATTTTGTGTACGGGAGGGTCGTGGCAGTTAGTTAATGGAGTTGAGGTTTACGTTAGAAATAATGTGAAAAACTATGGTTTAAATCTTCCTCCTAACATTGACCATAAAATGTTATTACAAATGGTTAGAAGTAAGGCGGGTGTGTTAAATAGTCATATTTGTTTGTGTTTTAAACACCCGGAGTTAGGGTATGTAATGGAGCTTGGAGATGAAACTGATGTATTTCAATTGAGACATGTAATGTCTGAATCAAAGAAGACGGTGCATTTGTATTTAATGGTGGTAGGTGAAGAAGATGAAGAACAAACAGTGGTTAACAACCAGTTTAATCCAACAAAAACTAATAGAGGTTGTAGAGAAAGCCAATGTGATGGAAACTGTTCAAGGGGAAGAGGGAATGACACTTTTGTATTAGATAATGATAAAGAACCAAAAGTGGGCATGACTGAATTACAACGTAAAAATTTGTTCGAGTTTGGAGAAGTTCCTGAAATTGATGATCGAAGACGTGAGGAAAAATCAAATGAAAGGTGGTCGGATGATAAGTACACGCAACGAAAAACTGCTTTTAATCCATGGTATTGTATTCCTTCTATTCCTGATTGTCCATAACCTATACTTGAACCTAGACCATTTCATAGTTTAGGTCCGAATGATAAATTAATTGTCAATCAAACCTATAACATTAAAAAAGAGCTAGCATTTGCTGTTAAATTCAAAGCCGTTAGAGAAAAGTTTCAGATAAAGGTTGAAAAATCTTCAAAATCTCGGTACCAGGTTGTTTGACAGTACAATTACATGAAAAACATACATCAGTAGTAAACGTATTACATAAAACATTTCATTATTTTTAACCTTTTTTTATCAAATTTTTTACATAATAATCATATAAGGTATAAGTGTATTTAATATATATATATATATATATATATATATATATATATATATATATATATATAAACGAAAATGAACGCAAAAAAAACGAAAAAAAAAAATTAAAAAATTTAAAAAAACCAACATTCCGCAGAGCTGTAGTTGGATCCGCAGAGGCTTTAATGGATCCACAGAGGATGCTCTGCGGATCCTTTGGTTATTTTCCGAAATGTGTTTTTCCTTGGTTATTTTCTTCAAACAACTCACTTTTTTTGGCTATTAATCGAATTTTCTCTTAATTAATGGGTTACCCAAATGGCCAAATTACTTCACCTGCCTATTTTGTATGGTATTGTGAAGTGAAGGTGGAGAACGGGTCAACTGCAACCAACCTAATAATGACATGTCCCATGTCCCAACCACGTTATCTGTTTTTATTTTGTGGAAAATTAATTAGCTTGCTAACAACGAAGTAACGTGACTTCTCCATATATATATATATATATATATATATATATATATATATATATATATAGCTGAGTTATTGTGACAACAAAAGAAACATGTGAACTTGCAAACTCATAATCAACTTATCATTTTTTTCAAAACCAGAACCATTAATCTTCTCCTAATGACATGTTTAAGCCATATCTAGGCTCAAAAAAAAAAAAGATTTTAGAATTTTTTTTTTTCGAAATTTACATGTATGTACAATTAACAGTCATATAAAAAAAACTAAAAAAAAAAATCTGTCAATTTCTTTTTTTAGCCTAGATATGACTTAGAGGCACAATTTGGAGAAGATTAGTGTTTTTGACGTTGAAAAATAATAAGCTGATAATGAGTTCGTAAACATGTACACGATATTGATTTACGTACGTACACATATGTTTTGTTTCAGCTTCAAATAATTCAATAATGTTTACTGAACTCGTAATCCAAAATAAAATATTAAATCAAATACAAAGGAATATTATTTATAGTACAAGATGGTACTATGCGACTATGTTTTGCAAAGTCCGTTAACCTTATATCCAACTAATTGACATGCATAAGTTTTGCTCTTTCATGTTTATTTTTAATTCAACACCTATATATAAATGGAAAAATATTTTTTTTCAAGTGTTAATTATTAGAGATATATATATATATATATAATTAATTAATTACTCGGATAAACCAGCTAAGAAAGCAACTCCGGTAGAAGGCAACCAGGACGACCCATATATAAACTGTGCAACGGTGAACCGGCTGGCCTCGACGGTGGTGGTGATAACACGATACCCCGGCCAGTTGACCCGTTGCCCGATGGCGCCACCTGGCCCGTAATTCATGTACTCACCGTAGTAGAGGGTATCAAGCGCGAAGGTTGCGTTCCATTCGAGCCAACCCCGAGGGTGAATGTGGTCCCCCATGTAGGATAACATGTACACCGTCCGGGAAAACAGCTTCCATGGCCGCCCAAGATACGTCTGAAAACTACCCTTTGATGCCTCTAGATCCGGTTGGGCGAGGAGGCGGCAAGCATGGATTGAAATCCCGGTGTTTTGATTTGGGTCTTTCCGGTTTTGGGCGGTGATGGTAATCTTTTGGAGGGGCATGGGCTTTCGGGCATACATGCTGCAGTTTTGGAAGACCACCGCGGCGTTTCCAAAGATGAAATCGACGGTCCCGTAGATGTCGCATTCACGGAAGAATTGGCGTTGGGAGTGAACGTACAACGTGTCTTGGTATCCGATGATGTTGCAGCGGTACACCACCGCGTGGTCTGCACCAACTCTTAGTGCTACGGCTTGGTGCTTCGCAGGGCCGGCGTAGTTCTCGAATGTCATGTCCCTTGCTATGAAACCAGCGCCGGTCGCCGCTGTTTTTCAAATTATTCAATTCAACACAACACACGTCAGCAATCTTATGATATGAATATGAATATGATGCTCTTTTAATACATTATAAACAACTATAATTTAATATAAAATATAATTTAATAACAAAAGGTTCTTTTTTTGATATATTTTTCGAATGTTTCAAAACTAATATGATCGGTTACACTTACACATGTGGTTTTATGTTTAAGAGAAATTAAATATCCTCCTACATTTTCTTCATATTTATCTTTCTATCCATGTAAAATGGTGACATGTGTTATATTTGAATAAGATTATCATTAATTTAATACACTTGTCATCATTTCAAATAGATAGGAGGATATGTAGGAAGAAAAATAGGAGGATATTTAATTTCTCTTAAACTAATTAAGAATCTGCTTTTTGACTAATGATTTTTTTATTTCTATTTTTATGTGGCAAATAAGTCATATACATTTACTAGTTAGACTAAACTTCATCCTGTTGTACAGTGTCAGAGTGGGGTCAGCAAGTTTGTGGCTGTCTTCCTTCCAATTTACATACTTAAGTTAAGTGGTGTGAAATGACATATTTATAAAAAACAAAACAAAACAAAAAACTTTATAATATCAAAAGAAAAAAGTTGTAATTAACTCTTATTTATTTGTAGACTTACTGCTCCACTACCGACAATCCTATTAAATCGAACAATACACTTTCATGTAAAAATTGTTAGTGTGTAACAACCAAAGTTGATAATACCAACTACAGTTAAACCATTTATATACTTAATAAAACGAAAAACATATAATTCAATTAATACTTATCTTAAAAGTAAAAAAAAAGGGGGTATTGGAATGGATAGAAGAGTAGATGGGGAGGTGGGTGTTGATGATTATAATTTGAATTTGAAATACCTTGACCATATGGACTTACTTGCATTGCATTGGATACCCATGACCCCCAACAAGTAATGTGACTCCATTAATATTCTTGTTTTCAATTTCTAGCCTCAGGTTTTCTTTAATAATGAAAATACAAACCAAAAAAATAATAAAATTACAAAAAACAATCATAAGATTTTATGATATTATGTTAAATTGATATGTTTAAAAATCAAATTCCCAAAAGAGAAAGTCATTAGGGCAAAAGGGTAATAATCGCAAAATTCTAGGATTATCCTTGATTTGGAAAGAAGTAGCTTTCCCCTTTTACCTTTTTACACGAAAAGAGGAGGGTAATTTAGTCAAACGAGTAGAGGAGATTAACATGTGAAGATAAAAACGACAAAAAGGGAAACGGGGATAAAAGTGGAAACAAGGAATATTTACCGAAAGACGCGGTGTGGAAAGTTGTGACATTGTTAGCCACTACACTTACTCCTCCTGTAATGACGGTTTTGCCCTTCCCATCCCCTATGAACATCAAATTCGTTTTCTTCCTCCCTACCTTCAAATTATTCTCTTCATATCTGGCATTCCCAAAACACAAAGATGAAACGTTAGCATCAAAGACAATTTTCAAATTTACTTTTTAGCAATTTTGCGTTAATAAAAATATCATCATAAATATATGATGACGACCCACGTCCTAATCTTAATTAAATTGGTTCGTTATAAAAGTACTCGAGAGAAATTGGAACGCCACATATTTTCCATTCCAATTTCAACATCATATATATCCACCAACATTCTTTAATTATATCTATTTTTACGTAGTTTCTTATATAATTATCGATTTTATATTGAAACAAAAACGCCACAATTAGTCAAAAGGAAGCAAGTTAATCAACTAGATCTTATTGCATAATTATTACCTTACGTAACAAAATTTCTCTAATCTTTTTGCATTCAACACAAAGGAACCATCATTAAGTTTTAACGTGATATCAATCACATTTTATGAGAGTATTTAAAGTCCAACCTTTTCATTTAATAAAAAAGTTATTCTTGTCCCCACATTTTGTTTGTTCGGTACGTCATTCAGTTGTATATAAAATAAGTTACCAATTACTATATCATTATTAATAAAATTAAGCTTAAGAGGATATATAATTCCTAATATCATCCATGTAGCTAAATGCTAATAACTACAAATGCATGTGATTGAACATAAAAAAGGAAATAATGAAATGACGCGTTTTACCTAAAAAGTGATTTGGAAAATTACCTTCCTGCCTTCACGTAGATTATGATCCGGCGGCTACTATATTCAGGCGCTTTCTTTATCGCTTCCATGATCGTTTTACACGTCCCATTGCCGTCCTTCGACACCACTATGTCGGCTTGAATGGCGGCCACCGGCGACTGCAGCAACCTTCTCTCCTTCCTACCCAACCACTTTGGAAACGACATTAACCTCCTACGTCGGTGCTGTATCGGAACTCCATTGAAATCATCACCGTCGCTCGCCGCCGCGTATATCGCCAAACAATTGCTCACCAGCTGCGACAAGTCCTTTAGCTTCTCCTCCATTTGCTTTTTCACGTACCCGTTTTCCACCTCCGACAAACCTTCCGTACACGTGTCCTGGTTCGTGAGCGCAGCGCTGAGCCACGTCATCACGTCCTGTGTTGACCCGACGCGCTGCTGCCCGTTTTTGCCACCGACACCGACAGACGGAGCCACCGAAAACAGTGAACGTGAAAGCTGGTCCACGGAGTCCTCAAGAAGTTCCAGACAGTCCTCATATGCCGATCGTACACGTGTGTTCATCTGAACATTACTAATCCCGGCTGACGTGTACAACGCCTTTCCGACGCGCTGCAGCGTCATGTTCACCGAAATGTGGATCATGTCTTTGTCTGACGCGCTCAGTGATCCCGGAAAATCCAGAAGCGACTTCATACACAGATTCTGGTAACGTGTCCGACCACAAACTCGTGACATGGCTTCCGTCGGCCGGGGGTGAATTATTGACTGAGATCCTCCTTCTCCTCCTCCGTGGGGTTTAGTTCGGAGACGCATCACCAAACCCACCGACACCGCCGACGCGACAATGAGGGTGAATGCAAAGATGAGAAGCAGCTTTATTTTTGAACTAGAGTTGGTTGTTGACCCTGAAGATGAGTGGATGGAGTAATCACTTGGCGTTAATGGAGTATCAGGTCGGTTCTTTCCCGGCTGGTACTTGCCGAGCCTGCCGTACTCCATGTTTAATTTCAGATGAGAATCGATCGAAAGTGGTGATGATGGTTAAATGAGTGAAGTGATTTGGTGTGTGTGTGTATATAAACTATAAACTATATATATATATATATATATATATATATATATATATATATATGGGGCGGCAGTAGTAGTAATAGCAATGGCAGTAGCAGCAGTTGTTGTGAAGTCGATGTCTGAAGGCTTAGCTGGTGGCAACTACTGGCACCCAATTATCCATTCCCCTGTTTACTTTTTTTGCCGTATTGTTTTTTCTTGTTTACTTTTGTATTAGTTACAAAGATTATATTCAAATATAGTCGATATAAGTAATAAATAATTCGGCTAAAATATAATTGAATTACCAATGGGCTGCTTTTGTATCAGATGTTCTTGAGGGTCCAACTCCCATTATGGATATAAGTGATAAATTAGAAATAGTTTAATAGTAGATTATATTTGCCGTTCAAAAAAATTAAAAAAATAAAAATATATCTAAATAATATTTAGTCTAGATTTCAATATATTTTAATTCAAATAATAAATACGTTGGTTAACATAACTATATTATTTTTAATTTGATGGCCAAATGTAATAAAAACCCTAAATTTTGTAACTTTTTGTTGGTATTACCCTAAGTGGTTTTTTAGGTCCGTCAATGTTTCATATTTACCAAGATTTTGTCATTTTTGGATTTTTATGAGATTTTCTGTCCACCACCTCTTCTCAAATGCTTACTTAGTGGTACCTGCTGAGATGACATATCATGTCAGCTTGGTATACTAATAAAAAAAATTAAGAAGTAGCTTTTACAGAACTGCTGATATGACATATCATGTCAGCTTGGTATGCTAATAAGAAAAATTAAGAAGTATCTTTTACAGAAAAACAGAAGGAGCCGAGGATCGAACTCGTGACTTCTTACAAAAGAGGCCAACGCCTTAACCACCAAGCTAGCAATCAATTCATGCTTTTATTTATGATTTCATATATATAAAACACTTAACTGATGGATTCATTATTATTATTATTATTAAAAAAGAAACCACCTGCTACACCATCATCACCACCAATCTCCTCCCTTACAACACCACCACCCCCACTGATTTCCTCCTTCACAACATCACCACCACCACCACCGATCTCCTACCCCGAAATACCACCACCATCGGTCTCCTCTCCCACAACCTATTTACCCGAAAAATCACTAGAAATCCACTCACAACCCCATCGTTGCTTAAGTCACCGGAGACCTCTGCCGCCACCGATGAAGATGAAGAACAATAATGATGGATAACGTTTATGAAGAACGCAATAGACGATAAAAAGTGAAGACGAAGAATCATACTTGTGGTGTCAGATCTTGTAGGGGCTGAAGATGATGAGAGGGGATGGCGGCGGATGTCGGAGATAGTGGCTGCCGGAGATGGGAAGAGAAGACGATGAACAATGAAGATGTTGTCGAAGATTAGAGGGGGTGATGGTGAAGAAGGAGAGCGTCGAAGATGGAGACGGAGGTGTGTAACACTTTGATCCAGGTATTTTTCCATTTATACCCCTTAGAATGAAAGTTGTTGCAAAATTGGTCCTATTGCCACTTAATGAAAAATGTGTGGTTTCTCACGTACGCTGGGCGTACTCTTATGTACGCAGGGTGTACTTGGCAAAAGTGCAAATCCTAATTTTTAGGGTTTGAGCACTATTTAAGCATCATTAACTTCTCAAGACCTTTTCCCTTATCAGCCTCCATCTCCCAATTCCTCCCTAACAAACCCTAATCCTTTGTGTGAGCCTTTTTGAGCTCGAGAGTGCATTTTTGGTGTTCTTGAAGGAAGAAGAAGAAAGGGAAAACATCTTGGAAGATCAAGGCATCTTGGATCTAGAAGTTTTTCACCCTCAAGCATCCTTTGTTTGTGTTCATTTTTGCTTAGATCTTGCTAGCCTAGTGTTTGTGTTCATTTTTGGTCCCATAAGCTTGGTGTTCATGAGTATGGATTATTCTAACCAGAAGAGTTGTCTTATCAGACGTTTTTAGGTGTTAGGAACCATAAAAATGTGATCTTGGTCATTCTATTCCTTCTATGCAAGAGTTATGATGTCTTAATGGATTTATAAGTTAGGGTTTTAGCTTTTAGACCTTTTCTAGACATGGAAAAACTTTATGACTTCGAATGATGTTTTGGTTCTTGATCTGAATTTGGGTGAAAGGTATTTTAGAAATAAGCACTTAATGATAAAGAGTTGGTTTATGCGGAGTATATGGGCGTACCAAGTGGTACGTTACGCGTACTGGGTTCGAACCCCATGTTTTGGATGAGCCACAACTACGCCCAGCGTAGTGACTGAGTACGCAGGACATACTCAGTCAGCTTGACTTTCCTTGACTTTTTGACTTTCTGACTTTGACATTTGACCCGGTGTTTGACCAAGTTTGCCCTAGGGGAATTTTGGGTATTTTGAGTTGTAGTTTGAGTTTAGGTCACTCTAGATTGTATAAGTGACCTGTAGAGTTGGCATTTGGAGCAACGTTCTTTTCTGCTATCTTTTCAGACTGTGAGGTCAGTTTTTCTCATTATACTTGTGGGGCGAAGACGCCAATGTCGGCCCAATAGATTATGTGTAGCATTCGAAACCTTGAGGTACTTAAATTCTTGAATATTTGCATTTTGGAGGAGGTTCACGATGTGAGCCATAATGGTCATGACGTGAGAGTGAGCACTGACTATTTGAACCGTATTTTCGAACCTCACGATGTGAGGCATAAGGTCTCACGATGTGAGCAAGGCCTGATGACCCAAAACCCTAATTTTCCAGTATTTGAAGAAATGAGAGAGCTAGAGTTGCCCATCCTCAACCTCCCTCACTCTCTAGCCCCCTGAAAACCCTAAATTCGACCTCCTTGAGACCTCTGGCCATTGTTTGTGATCTTGAAGAAGTTACTTGGAGGCTTTTGGTTCTTTGAAGTGGAAGAAAGCTCTTGTGGTGCTTCATTTTTGCAATCTAGCTTCTACCTTTTGGTCTTGCTGAGCTTTTGGGCATTTGTAAGTCATAAAGCTCTTACTTTTTTGCCTCATGCATGCTAGATCTAAGCTTTAGAGCCTTTATTTGCATGGTTGGGTGGTGTAACATGCATGAGATCCATAAAGTTGGCAAATTTATGGATCATTAGGATGTCTTTTATATGTGAGTCCTTGGATCTGAGTTTGGTGTTGGTTTTGAACTCCAAGCATGAGTCTTGATCTTATTACCTTTCTTTTGACCTAGTTTGTGTCTAAGTGATGCATTAAACATACATGACTGAAAAACTATGATATTTATGGTCCTTAGGGTCGAGGAAGGTGCTCTGGAAAGTCCCAATGTATAACTTAAAGGATTAAGAGCTTAATGCTCAGGGTTGGTCAGAACCGATCTCACGACGTGAGAAATGGAATATCACGACGTGAGCAAGGTGGTTGTCCCGATCTGAGGATTCTGTTGGATGAGTGAAACTGAGTCGACTCGCTAAGTGGGACCAGGTCGAGTCCATCCTCACGACGTGAGCCTTAGTGGTCACAACGTGAGGGTGGATTGAGGGGAAAGTTGACCTTTGACCCTAAACATTGACTTTTGATCTCTTGGTTTTGAAGGGTAAACTTAAGGTTTGGTATGCATGATTGTCTAGGTTTGGAGTAGCATCAGTGTAGCTGACCGTGCGAGCAATAGTAGTTGATTATCAACCGAGATGTAAGTTTCCTTCGCTGCACTCGTGGGTCGAAGGCACCAAGGCCGACCCACTATATTATGTTTGTAGGATGGTAATTATCTTCGTGACAATTACATGTTATGTATGTATATGATTGATGTCTCTGTGACTAGTACTGATATGTATGTATGCTAGCTGTAGGGGGTGAAATAGACCCGATACCGGTTGAAAGAGACCGAAGGGATTGCAACATACCCAGTACCGGTTGAGAGAGACCGAAAAGGTTGGAATATACCTAGCACCGGTTGAAAGAGACTAAAGGGGTTGAAATAGACCCAATACTGACTGAAAGAGACCGAAAGGGTTGAAATATACTCAGATATGTTTGACTGAATGTATGTATGGTATGGGGTATTTGTTGGATAAGGTGTCTAAGTCCATAACTTATTTGGTATATACTTGACCTGACCCGGCATGGTCCATTTGGGTTGCACTTCACCCGAACTATTTATATGGATAATATTATGAGAATAGTATGTTTATTAATATATTATAAGTTATAATATATTAATATGAAATCATATTATTTAAGTAGTGTTGATCTTAAATTAATTTTGAATTAATTTAGTGATCAAAAGGTGACTAATTAAATATGGGCTATTATATTTACATAGTGTGGGCTAATACTCATTAGGAAATGGGCTAAGCTTGCATGGGAGTCCATGGATGATCCATGGAGCTTTTAACCCATGGATCCTTGGAAAAGGAAAAGACATGGGTTATTAGGGTTTGCATGGTTCATAACCCTAATCATCAACACTATATAAAGAGGATTGTGATGCTTGAAATGAAACTATGTGTGTGCGCATAAGAGTGGCCGATTTCTAGAGCAAACATACTCTCTCATAAAGTTTTCCAAGTTTGTGGTGTTTTGTGATTTCCATTTGAGGCATTCACATTATTGGTGCTAGGCTCTCAAACTCCTAAGGAATCAAATCACTACTAAAGGTATGTAATTCCTCTAGTTTCTTTTATGTTTAAAAGTACCCCATGCCATGCTAGATAGGTTATGAACCTTGGAAAAATTATTTTGCATGTATTTTAGTCAAACATAGATCCAAGGTTTCTAGGGTTGCATGTACACCTTAGGAGTGTTAGAATGCTCAAAACCCAAAAGTGGTACCAGAGCCTAGGCTTGTTTGTTTGATACTTGATGCAAAATAGCTGGAAAAGTCGAAGTTCTTGCTGTCTGCACAGGGGACTCGCCGAGTCCATGGGGGGACTAGACGAGTCCAAGCGAATCTTCAACCAACTCGGCGAGTCAGTTCATGCACTCGACGAGTTGGCTAGGTAGAGTGCAGATTTTCAACTTTTGTTGCTGGAAATGGACTAGAAACATTACCCTAAACTGTTTT